GTAAATAATAAATAATAAAATTTATAATATCACTTACTGCTACTGTAACTTTTCCTAAAAATTCTTCTGGCATTGCCTGTCTAGTTTTTTTTAATAATTTATCTAAACAAGTTGCCATTAATTCCATACAAATCCATACATCAGATTCAGTAATAAAACAACCCAAACATTGCACAATATATGGACAATCATGTGATTTTAAAACAACATCAAGATCCATAATTATCCTTTTATTTTCTTCTGCATTACCGGAACGTCTCATTTGTTTGACAGCAATGAGTACACCACTAGGTTTATGCCTCATCTTTACAACATGACCACAGGTACCATTTCCCAATTCACCTAAGTGTTCTAAGTCTTTCATTTCAGTTTGATACCTTTGACCATTAATATTTAAAATACCATTCATTTTCATAATTTCTTGTAGTTTTGATTCAAATTCACTATCCTGTTTCTTTGGAGGTATCTGTGAGACTTTCAATGTTGGTATTGGAGCTATATTAGAAATAAAAATCAATCATATTTAAAATATAAAAAAAAGTAATATATTTGATATTTCAAGAACAAAAAAATGATAACAAATTTTTATCATTAAATTATGTATATTTATATAAGTTAATATTTTACAAATATAATTTAAAAAAATGAAACTTAAATAGAGAGTTATTTTATCTTCTAATATAAATATTTTATTTTGAATATTTTTACATGTACTATATGTATGTATATTTTTACTTTTCTTATAAACATTCATAGTTTCATTCAAATCATTTTATTAATAATGTATTTGACTATTAATAAATAAATATTAAATCATTTAAAGATAAATAATTCAAAATTAGATAAAAGAAAATATTCACTTTTATCATTAAAAAGATAATTTTACTCAAAAAAAAAAAAGTATTGTTTTTATTTATAATTCATTTAAATATTTTTCTATTTATATCAAAACTCGATTTATTTGTTAAAATAAGAAAACATTAAGTGTATAATTCATGCAGAAATCACTAAAAACTTGAATGAAATAAACTACGCGTTAAATAGAAAGATTGAAAAAGTATCGTATATAGAATCAACAGAATAAATTGTGATGATCAACATAACCTGTACGACAAGTAATAAAACTAAAATTTTATTCAAAATTTTTGGAAAAAAAAATCAAAAAAAAATTTTATCATAATCACAAAGATGTTTAAATTAAACTTACGACGTGAAGCAGAACTCGAGACAGATCCCGAAGATGACGATTGAAGGCTCGTTCCTGGTCCAACCTCGCTATTCTGTCTATCTCTATCTCTTGATTCATTTTCTGCTCTAAGACGTTCTTGCAAATTTAAGATCTTATTCTCCAAAGTACTGGACATTGCGACGTTTTTTTACGACACTATCAAATTCACCGAAAGACACCACCTCGCACAAAATATTTGACAATTTTCACATCACTCGTCTACCCCTTTTGGCAGCGAACATTGCGCCGCCGGTTATACGCATTTCAGTAGAACCAACTCTTTTCAGATTTCTTAGAAATTACTAGAAGCGTTTATGATAAGAAAGTTTTTTAAAACAAGATTTTCAAGGAAAATTATTACGTCTTCTAAACACAATATTATATATATATATTCTCATTTTAATACAAAATTCATATATGTACAAATTATTTAAGTAGAGATCAACATATATATCATTTCTATTTTTTTCTTCAAACATGAAGCAAATTTTTATAATACAAACTACACAATTATGTGTAGAATATAATAATACACATGTATATAAATATTTCTTCGAAGACTTGATTAATATATCTATTGAAATTGATTATAACTGTCAGATATGGAAAATTGAAAGAATTAGAATATTTTAATTTTATAAATAATAAAATTTATATATTAAAAACAGTAATGTCTTTCAACTTTTCATGTTCATGACAATTATAGTTCATATTAAAATTTATAATTTTATTACAATTTGACAATATTTTAATTGTCAATTATTAAACATGATGTAAAATCTGAATATCTTGAAGCAAAATTCAAATAACATTTCGCATTTACAACATTGATAGTCATATTTTAAATCTAATAGTAAAAATCTCATATTACAGAAAAAAAGCTAATAGAGAAAGCAATGATATATTTAAGGAATATTCATTTAAAAGGATTTTAATTTTATGAATCGTTAAAAATTATTATTGCTCTACAAAGAAAAAATATTCATTGCAAAACAGCAGCATTTGCAGCTATACTTGGATTGTTAACAACTTCTCCTAAACTTTCCAACAATTCTTTTCTATAATCATCGAAATCTCCATCAATTTCATTAATTTGTTGGTTTTCAATTACATATAAGCAACATTCTGTGTCTCTAATTAAACGTTCATCATGAGAGACAATAATAACTCCTCCTTTATATTCATTGATAGCATCAGCCAATGCATCAATAGATTCTATATCTAAATTATTTGTTGGTTCATCTAAAATTACAACATCAGGAGCATTTAAACATAATTCAGCTAATGCAACTCGTGCTTTTTGACCTCCTGATAAATCTTTCATTTTAATTGTATGAGCATGAGAACTAAGTCCAAATGTCCCTAACTGCTTTCTAGCTTTTTCATATGGTAAATCAAATAAACGCATCAAATATTCCACTGGTGATTCTTCAGCAGTTAGATGTTCACCAGAATGTTGATCAAATTTTCCTATTCTCTAAAAATCATAAAATATAATTTAGATATATAATTTTGTTATTTAAATAATAAAATACATTTTTATTACTTACTAATCGATGATTTTTTATGGATTCTCCTTTTATTGGTTGTAAATCACCTGTCAATAATTTCAAGAATGTAGATTTGCCAACACCATTAGGTCCTACTATAGCTATTCTAGAACTTAAATCTATGCCAAAATCAACATCAATAAACAATGGTTTTTGTCCTTCATAAGCAAAAATTACATCTAAAACAAAATATTTATTTTTAAATTATTTTTTTTAAAATATGAAAAAAAATTAAATATTGATAACATACTATGAAGACCAAGGATTGGTGGTTGCAATGGAGGTGGATCAGGAAAACTAAATTTTACTATATATTCTCTAGGTTTTTGTAATAATTCAGTAGGTGCATTATCTTCTTCTTGCTTTTGCATTTTTGTTCTATTTTTTTCTTGTTTCCTAGTTAAAGCTTCTTTTTGTTTTTTTTCAGCTTGTTTTTTACTTTGACCTGAAGCTTTCATATCTTTAAGTCGTTTTTCTTGTTTCTCATATGCTTTAATCATTTCTTTTTTTTTTTGCTCATACATTTTCTTAAACATACTGTAATTTCCCTTATAATAAAACAACTTTTGTTGATCTAAATGAATTATATCTGTACATACATTATCTAGAAAACTTTGGTCATGAGAAACAATAAGTAAAGTTTTTTTCCAGGCTTGAAGATAATTGTCTAACCAAATAACAGCATTTAAATCTAAATGATTTGTTGGTTCATCAAGTAATAATAATGTTGGTTCTAAGAAAAGAGCTCTAGCAAGAGAAACACGCATACGCCAACCACCAGAAAAATTTTTTGTTGCTCGATCTTGCATAGCACGATTAAATCCTAAACCAGCAAGAATCCTTCTAGCACGTGGTTCTGCAGAATCTGCACCAATAATCTTTAATTCTTCATAAACCTATAAAAAAAAATATATTACTATAATATAATCATTAAAATATATTTAGTAAATTACCTCTTGCAATCTATTTTGAACAGAATTATCTCCTTGTTCTACAAATTCTTCTAATTTTTTACATTCTGTCATTAAATCTTTACATTTTACATCTGCATTAAGTACTACTTCTACAGCAGGAGTATCATCAGCAATAACTTCTTGTTCACAATATAAAACATCAATATTAGGTGGAATAGCAAAAGCTCGTTTTGCAATATGACGAAGTAAAGTAGTTTTTCCATGACTGAAATAAAAATTGAAATTATATATTATTCATTAAATTAACATCGAAATTATATTTTATTAATTACAAGTTCGAAAAATATATACCCATTTGGTCCTACTAATCCATAACGTCTACCTTGTGCAATCAATAAACTAGCATTGGTAAACAATTCTTTTCCTTTAGCAGCAATACTGAAATTTTCTACCTTAATATCAACAGCATTTTCTAATTGTTGATTACTTCGTTGTTGACTTTGAGTCTGAGAAACAGTGAAATTTGTTTCAAGTTCACTATGACCCTGACCACCAGTTTTCATTAACATTTCCATCGTTTTCTCATATTCTTGCTGTTTTTTTAATTTTTTCTTTTCCTTGTGTGTTAATTTTTTTCCCGTTTCCTCCATTTCCATGTCAGATATTTTTTTCGTAACATCTAATATTTTTTTATCAGTTGACATATTGAAACGTGCACTTAATTTCCTAACCTCAATATTTCACACCCGATCTCTACTACCATAAAAAACGAAAGCACGTGGCGCCATCCAATTTTCCGCATACTATAGCATATTGCAGTAATTTATAATTATAAATAAAATATTTACTATCTATTAAGAAAAATAAAAAAAAATTAATAGTAAAATTGACATTTTGTGAAAAAAATTTTTATAAAAAAAAAATTTGAATAATATATAAATATTATATTATTTTTAAATATACATAATATAGATAAAAACAAAAAATAATACATGGTACAGTTATAATATAAATAAAACAATTGAAATAAATGCGATATAATTAGATACGATAAAAATATATTGTAATTTTTAAAATAAAATAAAAGTAAACAAAAATACATTTTTTAAATGTGAATATTCTAAAATGAAAAATGTCGAAATTACAGGAAACAGACAAAAAAATGCATACTATGTATGCAAATTTTATGTCGTATATGGAGAAACATCGTCTATATGAATTATTTTATGTAAATAATTTGTATTTCATAAATATTATCTTTAATTTATTCATTTTATTTCACATAAAAAAAAGAAATATACACAGGAAATGGCAACTCAATTATTGATTCAAAAACCCGAAGACCATCTTGTATTTATGAAACAATATCTTCATCTTGCTGCAAAAAAACTTAATATATCCAATATTATTTTAATTGCACCTGAAAATTTTGGTACGTTAAATTGAATTTCTATATATAAGTTATTTAAGATCAAATTTTTGAGAGTAAAAAAAAATATTTTATGTATACAGATAGAAAGGCATTAGCCAAAATTCTTCAGAAAGAATTAGGTGTATATCCTTTGAGCTTGAAAGAGCTTCGTAAAGTTTATACTCAGCAGGATGTAAGAAGAATTCAGATTTTTGTTATCATTTTTTCAAGAAATAAATTTTTTTTATTAGGATACTTGTCATTGCGAGGAATCAGAAGATCTTGCACATGCAATGAGAAAAATATTAGAAAGCGGAGCTTTTCATGAAAGTGGATGGTTGCTATTTGGTAACAATATAAAAAATATGTAAATGTAAAAACATGATGAAAAAAAATTTGCATATTTTAAAAGTTTCTCTTTTCATTTTATCTTTGATTTATAATATAGATTTGCCGAGAACGAAAAAAGAAGCACGAATATTTCAGCGTATGGGTATAATACCGACACATGTGATACAACTCAAAGTTTCAAATGAATATGGTAAAATTATAAAGAAACATATTTAAATTTATTAAATTTACATGATTTTCTTTTATAGAAAAATGGAACGATATTTATACAAACAATGCTCATTCAACTTTCATAAAATCTAAAAAATCACAAAATCATTATTTAAAAAATTTACGAGAATTACGAGAAGTATATGCACATTATTTAATAGTTGGTTAAGTTTTTATTTCTAATTAAATAGAATAACAAACATAATAATAAAAAAAAGTAATATTCGAAATAAAATAAAATTAAAAAATATTTATTTCCAGGAAATCGAAGTAGGTATCAGATCCATTGAAGAACTTGGAAAAGATTGTGCAAAACTAGCAAAGATAAAAAAACATTGTGGAACACCATCACTTTTTCGTATTGCATTAATTGGTCCTAGGGGATCTGGCTGTATTACTGTAGCAAAATACCTAGCTGAACGATTTAATCTTGTTTATAGTAATTTTTATCTATTTATTATTAGTTTCTTATTTTTCGATAATACTATATAACAAAAATTATTATTTATTTCAGTTGATTATGATTATATTGCAGAACAGGCGCGTTTACAACAAAATTCTTTAGGAAAAATTCTTCGATTATTTGAAGAACAATGGGGTGAAAGACCCAAACCTGAAATTAGAATTCAAATTGTTGAAGTATAATAAAATTAATGAATAGAATTTTTGTTTCAATAATAGTGATATAATATTATTTTAGAAACATATATCTGAGTACGAGTGTTTGAAAAGGGGTTGGGTTTTAACGGGTTATCCAAAGACCGTAGAAGATTTTAAATTATTTGATTTGAGTCCTACCCCTCCAAACAGGTAAAAAAAAAAGAAAAAAAGGAAGCAAATATTTAAAATTTAAATGCGAAAATTTTTCAAAAATTCTTTGTTCAGTATGTTAAATATTTTAGAGTAATATTTATGGAAGTAAGTAGTGACATCTGCAGAGAAAGACTACTCAATCGTCGATACAATATTATCACAGGAAGTAAACATAATTTATCTTCAACAATCATCGGTAACGATGACTTTAAATTAGGTGTTCATCCTAAAGATTTCAGACTGAATGTCGAACGAGATGTAAAAATATGAATCAAATTTAATTTCAAAATCGATAAATTTATGCATCATTATAACTATAATAATGTTATTAAAGTTACAAGAATATGAAGAAAATATGATTGACATGATGAAGTATGCAGGCGAATCTGCAATAAAAATTGATGGAAATGATGAAGAAAGAATTGTTCGAGAAAAAGTAGAAGCAAGTATAATGCATCCAATTCTATCTTGGCAGTCAAGAATACCAAGACCTCCACCTAAGATTGATCCAATGAGTATTGAATTTGATCCTGATGATGAACCTGATTCCAGCGTGTTCGATAAAATACGTGCCCCTGAGCCGAAGTATACTTTTATCTAACTTATAATTAGTCAGCTATCGAAAATATTTCACTTTCAGCAAGGATAGGAACTAGGATGCTCCTAGTATATTCTGTTATCCTAACGCGCAGAGCATTTTATTTTCACAATATTATAGCATTTATATGACGTCATATACAGATTTTCTAACACATTTAACGTTTAAATCTTTTTTTATAATTTAACTTTCATAGTATTTAATATTTACAATTTAAATATTACATTGAAAAAATGAATCATAAAAATAAATTTTGATTAAAGACTAAAAAAATTAATATTATATCTTTGCAATTTTTTAAAATTTTATGTTAATTAATTATTAATATTTTTTAAAAAAATAATTTAATATAAGAAATAGAATTATGACGCAAACAATATTTCAATCTTATTTGCTTCAAGCAAATATATTGATGCAAAAGTAAACAGTATCTCATCAAAGAAAAGATACAATTAATTATATCACAATTAAGGATATTATTATATACAATTAAGGATATCACACGCCTATATTAATGAGGATAATTGCCTCAAACGCGAAGCATATTTCAGGATCAAGGACATATAGAGTAAAATAGGTCGCACACGATTGCAGAACTTGCTACAAAGGATGAAATCCTGCTTATTTTGCCTAGTAGTTAGTGAGACTTTTGCCTTTCTGAGAAATTTATCAATTTAGCGTTCTTCACATTAGGAGACATTCGCAAATAAATTATTAGATATGTTATTATCGAATCATATATGCAAATTAATTACAAAGAACAAACATTAATATTTCATTACGTTATTGTTTATCCAATTAAAAGTTTAATATTTTATAATTTATGAAATATAATTTTAAAAGATATAATCTGTAATTTGTATATTTTTATATAAAAATAGAATCTGCTGCAATAATAACATTGATTTAAATTTATACAAAAATAAAAGTTTTCAAATCAGCTATCGGAATTCATTTCCGCAAAACTACATAGACACCGGAAGGAAAGAGGAAATTTAGGTTAAGGAAAGTAGAATTGGATGGAAGTATTATAAAATGCAAGATAATATCTGTATAAATAATAAAAAAAATATTCGAATAAGCATGATAAAAAAGTAATCAAATTCCTAAAATATTTATTAAAATAATATGCGTTGCAATAATCTTAGGAGAGAAATTTATTGTTATTAATATGTAAAAATTAAATTATTTATCATTATCTTATAAATATGAAAATGGAGCATTAAAATAATTGCATATGATAAAGAATTATATATTCATATAATTTTGAAATTTTATTTATTAGAAATAATTTTTATTTTTATTTTCTGTTTCATTAATGATATAATCGTAAATTTATCTTTTAACTAAAGCCTTGAACTTTTGGTTATTTAAAAAATTGATTAAAAGAATTTGATTAAAATATTGATAATACATATTTCATTTATATAATTAACTGAAAAAGATATCTGTTATATTTTATATTTATTACATATCAATAATCTTCGAATTTAATAAAGAAGCAATATTTTTTTCATTAAAAGGAGCATTTAAAGAATAACACTATGTATCGATTTAATAAAAGGACTTCAAAAGACAAAATAAGCTCGAGTATCAGGATAAAAGAAAATAACTGAGAGACAACATGATAATATCGATCCTCGATATTATCCTCCTACTATAATATCTGCAATCCTATCCTCTATGGATGTCCTGAGTATGCATTGAAAATGAAGTTCGTGTTACATCAACATACGCAGAAACTTTTTTTTTATTAATGTCACAGATGCATTAGGCTCGTATAACTTTGCAGAAATTTATTTAATTAGACTAAACAAATCGATCAGAATTGTTTCTATTTTTATATAAAAATTTCGAAAGCTAAGACGTATTGATCTATTTTTTAATTCAAAAGATATTAGATTCACTTTAATACCTAATTCTACAAATTATTTATAGAATATTAAATAATTATTATTGGCTCCATTATTTTTTGACATATTTATTTTAAACAATAATAAAATTCTAAAATTTACTCTTTTCGTTATCAATCAGATAAATAAATACATATATATTGTATTCAACAATGATATACGTTTATATCTTACAAATATCCAATCACATTAGGATATCATGCGAATAGGTATTTCGAGGTCGAATGAATCCCCTTTAAGATTGAATCGAATGTCGAGCTTCCGCAAGCTTTCAAACAGTAAATATTTCGTCGATCAGGACGCCATGTAAGACGGAACTTTTTCTTAATCGACCAAACGGAAGAATCCTTTCTCGTTTGAAGAAATGTAACATCCCTTGAGACTCGTCAATGTCCTGTCACTCATCAACCGTGTGGCGCCAGAAGCATTCGCACCACCAGGATTTCATAACTTTAGAAGAGTGTTCGTGCGGATCTCCACGTTCCAGGACTTTGAATTTGTGGATGACTGCTTGTTCTGTATCTCTTAGAATAACAGGATGCCATGTTAATAACGATTTACCAACGTGGATATTATTCTTGCGTTTTCCATAGTTTCTGGAAGATCAATGAAATAAAACTTTAAGAAAGCATCAAGGAAGATAGATTTTGAAGCAGAAGAAAATTTAAACTGGCTAATAAATCTAAATAGTTGTAATTCTATGTAAAATGAGTTATGAATTAAAAGTCGATAAAAAAAAAAAAAGACAAAAAGAGGCAAAAGATATCACGTTTCTTTCTTGTCACAGTTTGTTATTTTTTATCGAACGTATTTCGTCTTCTGTACATCTTAATTTCAGTCGTGTATCACAGGCGATCATAAAACGAGTCGTGCATGCCACCGAAAAAAATTCCAGATATTCGGATGGATTTCCGATAACAGACAACACAGCTATACGTACACAGTGTATATAGGACGCTACTCTGTGGCTGTTCTCGAATGAAACAAATATTGATTCGCTTCAATCGGCGGGTCGCAAAATTGCCTACTTTTCGTGCCATTAATGAAACGAGTATCTAGAATTAAGTAAGTAAATTATAGTCTATTCAAAATCAATTAAGTAATCAATTCAATGTTTGTTATATTGGAAAGATGTTTTGTAAATTATAAGCGGATTTAAAAATAATTTTATTAGAGCAAAATATTTATTAAAATTTCATGCAGCAAACTTAATTCTCGTAATAACTAGATCAATTTTGATCCAAATCGACATGACAATAATATTAATTAAATAAAAAAAATTAAATAACTTTAGAACTTTAGATCCATATGGATCACTTTTGATTCAGTCATTGTATTCATACTTTGAGAGTTGATGTTAGAGCATATATCAAATTGTGTACCAAGATATCAGCCAAGGAATAAAGATATATCTTTGTATTATTCTTATTTAAAATTCATGATCTAAAATCATTTTTTATTTAATCTACTAATTCTATTTAAAATTTCTAATGAAATACTGTAATTAAAATTATTTTTAATTAAGATAGAAAATTAAATAAGATATACACAAGTAAAAAACTTAAATCATAATAATGAATCGTTCTATGTTTTTTAATTATTTCAATGAACTTATAAAATATAAGTAAAATATTAACTAATTAAAAATAAAGTAATTATCAAACAAACAAATAAAAATAAAAAGAAACACAAAATCAATGTAATTTCAGATTAATATAATTTTAGTTAATATAATATATGATATATAAGAAATCACTTTTCAACAAGTAATATCAATTATTTTATTTATTCTAAACGAACAAGTTTTACAAGTTTTAGTTTTATGTTGATGGTGATGTAGATTATGTTCATGTGCTAATTTAAAAAATATATATATTGACGTCAATTAAAAAGAAAAGTTTTGATAACATTAACGATGACTTATTCGTAGAGAGTGTAACAGTATCATACCCTCAAGCGTGCCTAGTAATTATCCACCAAAGAAGTTGGTGCACGATGTTTCACGATATAGCTAAAAGTATCACCGAGTTATCGCTCAAAAGAAACAATGTTCGCTACCTCTTAAAACCCGGCAGCCTCTGGGCGTTTAAGTCCTCAAACCATTCTAATTGAGGTTCCTCCTCGTTACCGCGAAAGAGTTACCGGAAACAATAGCTGGAACAAGTAGATGACAATTGTACGTAGCAAGCAAGCATCCTCGCTAACAAAAGCGTGCCTACCAGTCCTCGTTTTGGCTATCTCTTTCCGTCTCCTTCTTATTTCTCATCTCGCTATTGTTCCCTTGCTACTGCAACGAGCGTCAGCATCAGGTAACGAGTAACGAAGCGTCCTTCGTACCTCTCGAGGTATCGAGACAGCTAGCCCGAAACGTTCCCTGGAATATCGAATAAGAGTAAACTTCTAGGAATCGTAAGAAATCCACTGAAAATTAAGCCACTGGAAAATTACGCAAATACTTTCCAATGTGAAACGATTATATGTATGATATATTCATTGAATTTTATCGAAGTTTAATATATAATATGTGCAATTTACTCGTGTTAGACATGTTATTATTTTGTGAATTATAGAAAAAACAATTATATTATTGATCAAAAATAATTATATCTATATATCATTGAATTTATCTTGAAAAACATAACTGGTAATAAAAAATAAAAATAATAATTATATATAATTATTATATAAAATTACTATTTATTTAGAAAGAAATAATTTTTATTCTTTGAAATATTTATTACTTTTCGATTTCCATTTTTTTGATAATTTTAAAATCATCTGAAAAAAAATTTATTAATATAAGGAAATCGTTAATATTTTTGTGTCTCTTTTAATATTTGAAAATATTTGCTAAATTATATTTATAAATATTTAAAAATCTGAATAAATGATAATTGTAAGAAATCAAGTCAAATACATAATTTGCATGAGAGAATTTCGATGAAGAAATAAATGATTTTTTTTTTTTACAAAGTATAAAGATGAAAATCTAATCTAACTAAAATCTAATTAAAATATGTAATCAGAAAACTTTCTTTTTTCTTTTAAATTCATTACTTTTGCAAATAAATATTACTTATAGTGATTTTC